TATAGTTTATTTAATATAACTAAATAACTATAAAAATATAGCATTTTCAGTTTTTTCATTAATTATTATAGTAGTTTATTGATTCAGATTTATTTAAAATTATAATTATTTTTTTTGAGAAAGTGCACGGTTTGTTGAACCAGAGTTTTTAAAAATCAGAATCCTATTTACCCACGTCACTATATTATAACCATAATGTTTATTTTCTCTTATAAATTCGTACGTTATAATACCACATTTTCGGTTATAATCATTTTGGAAACGCCTGGTTGAATTTTGCACTTTTTAAAAATATTTAGCAAATTGTTATTATAAAAAACAATTATAAATATAATAACAATCATAAAAAAATTATTACAATAAATCATCACATATTTTTATTTATATCAACTTTAAACTGATGAATATAACACAACAATGAGTATTAAATTAGATCGCTACTCAATGATGATAGTTTCGAAATATTTTAGAAGTATAATTGATTATAAAAACATGATGTTTATATGTAAAAAGTTCCAAGAAATACCCGATATGTTTCACTTTAATCCAATTTCAGTTACATTCAAAACACAAAAATATTTTCCAAATGTCGAGACACTGCACCTTTATAATAATGAAGACAAATTTATAACAAAATATCGTCAGTATTATATACACTTTCAATTTCCTCTTAACAAATATTTACAAATAAACAACAAAGGACGGCGTGTTATATGTCCACAGATAATTTATACCGATACTTATGAATATCACGCCTTATCCTATAAAAAAGCAACTATTTTCTTGGACAAAACGTTTTATTACTCAACCAAATTTAGTGAAATGGATTGTTCAAATATTTTAAAATTTGGCGTATCATGTTTTGAGTCTATGTCTTCATTGGTTGCAATAACACTGTCAACTAATTTGTATGAAATTTCAAACTACTGTTTTTGCAATTGTATAAAACTAAAAGAAATTAATTTGAAACACGTTAGAGTGTTTGGAGAGTTTTGTTTTTGTGGGTGTGACAGTTTGAGTGCAATAACTTTGGGTACAAACATCACAAAAAGTGCAAATACGCCATTTAAAAATGTAACATCAATTCAAAATGTTACAGCACCCGGAGTCAAAAATGTCAATTTCGATATCACGGCATCCTCCTCAAATGCATTTTGTAATATCAAACATAAAACAGTCACCACAGAATACGACAAAAACAACAATATTTTGCCAGATTTTTTATCGGACGAAATTGAAACTCTAGTGTTCAAAAACAGAAGAGGACTTTCCGATATAAATCTTGCAAGCACTGTGACTGTTATTGAAGAAAATGCCTTAAGTGGTTGTGATATGAAACGACTTGATTTGTCGCATGTGATGTTTTTTGGAAGTCAATATGACATGACTTTTCTCACTGCAATAACATTAAACAATAATATTCAAATTAATAATTTATATGATTATACTGGACTGAAAAAAATCGATGCGATCAACACTCAAAATGTTGATGTGAGAGCTGCGTGTTGGATGAAAGAAATGTTCGACGAGAAAAATCTGGAAATTGTCAAATTTTGTTACACTCAAAAAGATGTTGAATTGTTCAATGGAATTATTCCTTCAAATTTTTATAAACTTAAAATAATTTGCCGCAACGTGAATTTTGAAAATTATAATTTTAATGAAATTAAAATTCCGGAGGGAATCACAATGATGAACATCAATGCTTTTCAAAATAATAAAAATTTAACAAAACTTGTTTTTCCAACTTGTTTTAAAGTGTTGAAAAACACGTGTTTTGTTCATTCAAGTCTCAAAGAACTTTGTATCGCGCCTGTCAAACAATTTAAAATATCAAATTGTTACGAACTTACGTCAGTCACTTTTTTAAACCAAAAAGTCACTAAAACTTTTATGTTTGAAAATTGTTTTAATGTCAAAAACATAGAATTTCCAAATATGCCATTTGATTTTGTTTTTAATGAAAAAATTGATTTTACTATTTACAAGTTACTTAAAAACAAATATAAATTTGAAGGCGATGTTGTGTTATTTTCTATTGATCCAAATTGGATTGATTCAAAAGGAATTTTGATAATACCAGATGAAGTCAACTTGATTGAAAATTTGTATTTTAAATCTACAAATTTGACGGAGATTTGGATGGGAAAAAATCTGAACAAAATTGAACTTTTCACTTTTTGCGAATGTAAAAATTTGAAAATTGTCAAAAACATGAGGAGATCAATCAAATTTAGTCAATATAGTTTTAAAAGGGGAGATAAAAATATCATAATTGAATATGTGGATTAATTGTTATGTTAAAATATTCGAACAAATATTTAAAAAACGTATAATAATATATTTACTTTAGCAAACAATAAAACTAATATAACATAATAAAAATATTGTCGTTTTATTTTATACAAATAAAAAAGTCACATTGTTTTTCGAAACTTAAAAATCTTTTTTTATCGATGTTTAAGTTTTGTTTTAACAAACATTGAAAATGGTGTCGCTAAATCAGATAATTTGTGTTTATAATAACTTTATGTTGGAAGCAAATATAATTTTTAAAACATCAATTAAAAAATGAACATTTTCTGAGTTGTCAAAATTATTCTGTGATTAACATTATAATGCTTAGAATGATTATTTTGTCCACAGTGTAATAACACTTATTTATTTGTATATAAAGATATTATCACATTAGATATAATCGTGTTGAATGTAATTTAATATTTTGTGAAACACCACAAATAAAAGTTCAATTGGTGGTTTAATCCCCCCTGTACAACAAATATTAATTGTTAGTTACATTGTGTTTTCATTATACGTGTCCTTTACCTGTTTGTATTTTTTAAAAGCTTGTTCTCGACTTTCAAATTCTGTGTTTAACTCAGACACGTCGTCTTCAAGTTTGTCACATTCTCTTGTTTCTCTTCGATTTAAGTTTTTATTATGGTCAATTTTTTAATGCAACCTTATAGTATTAACCTACTTTTGTTTAGCCATATGTTTTTTTTCAAAAGTTTCAGTTTTGATCAAGATTTTGGCAAGATACTTCTCATTTTTTCTTTGATCAATTGAGTCTTTGTTTAGTCTTTCTTCTTTTGATCAAGTTCAGTTAAAACTTTTTAGAATTTGTTTTGGTTTATTGTCCTCGAGGTCTTTCTTTATGATAATAATTAATAAAATAGTAGTTTATTTTTATTTTAATAATAAATCTGTTATTGTTTATACACTTGTTTCATAAAAGAGTCATTTTTTCAGTTACGATTTTGTGAAAAATATGATAATAATCAAAAATGATTTTAAGTACTTTGGTCATTAGTTTTGCAATATTTTTGTAATTTTTTGTGCACAATTTCAACCGTTCACTATAACTTCAACTTACTTGTTAATATTTTTGATGTATTATTTACAAACAACACGACACACAATAAAAATGTTTTCATTACTTGTATTATCTATTAATTATTTATATTTCAAATATTACTACAAATGCTCAATTAAATTTAAGTCGCAACTCGAAGCTAGTTATTTTTTATGATAAAACGTTTTTATTATTCAAAAAACTAAAGTGTATAGTAAAAATTTTGAAGAGAAGGCGGGTGTGGTAATTTTGTTTTTTCAAAAGTGTACATTTTAAGCCAATCAAACCTTAATTACCGCTTTATAAAGAACTTTATTTTTAGTTTCATTGATAATACCCTCTTTTAAGAGAATCCGCTTTTCAATAGTACCGTTTTTTGAAAAGTTTTACTGTATTTTTATTTGTGCACATTGGCGTTGTATTGCATAATTTTTTACCTTATGATTACGTTTTTAATTGTTTCATTTTTATTATTTTATTGCTTTTATAACTTTTTGATTATTATGGAAGTTTAATATTAAGTTGATTAAAATGTAAGTATATTGTATTGTTTTATAATTCCTATATTGATACATATCTTTATATTTTGCTTTTTATATATTATTGAGTCAATAGTTGTTTAATTATTTCAAAGTTTATCTAGTTATCTAATTGATTTCAACACACTTATCTTCAAAATGAATAGAAAGATACAACTTTTTAAGGTTATTTTTTGATAATCGATGTGTTTTTCAAGTAATTCACTCCAACAATAATTGTTTACAAACTGACACATCATAATATCATAAAGACTTGAAACGTTAACTTATTATTTTTTCAATATTTGTTATTTTTATCATCTGTAATTAATTAAAATACCAAGTTAAAATTCAACTAATTTTTAATGATCAACAAATTTACTCGATATTAACAATTAATCAAATTACTTTATTAAATTAAACTGAATTCGTCAATTATATTCAAAACGTATTTTACTATAAATAATGAAATTTATTTTACTCAATATTTTGATTTTAATAAAAATGTGAAATGATCGTTTTTGTTATTTAGAGTGGAAAATGATTTTCTTTGTTTCTAAAAATAGTGAAAATAATGACGATTTTATGGATAATAAAAAATAACAGGTAGATAAAATAAATTTTAGAATTATAAAGAGGTCATACACTTTTTTGTTTCAATTTAACATCAAAAAATTATTTTTTCATATAACCACACCAAAAATATATTAAATTAAAATTTCTTAGGTAAAAATTGCATTTTTTATTGAGGGCAATGACGAATTAATAAGTAGAGTTTATGTTTAATAAAAAGGTACAAATCAAAAACATATTTTAAAATCTGAGATAAATATTAAAAATTGTGATATAAAAAACATTTAGAAATGCTCATAATTAATTTAGTTCATTTTTAGAGCCAACAAACATTGAAAACATCTTTAGTACAACATCTAACCGTGTTTCAGATTAATTAACTCTAACATTATTTGTAACCATCTGTTTATTTTGTTTTGAAAAATGCGCTTGAAAATACTTATTATAATTTGAGACATTATATTTCAAAACAAAACAAATGTAATATAATAATTTTTAATTTAAATCGTTATATTTTTGATAATTAAAATATGATAACAATGGTTATATTATTTCGATTTTATCTATCAGACATATTCTTATAATAATAACAACTTCAATTTGAAACTTATTATGTCAAGTAACATTGTTTTGAAAATATTAATTGAATAATTATGACATAAAACGCATATTTTTACTAGACAATATTTTTTATTATATGATAATAATTTTTATTTGAAATAAGTACAAAAACAATAATTAAATTTCACTTACATACAATCTACTTTTTTCATTACATTAATTGATAAGAATAGTCGTTAATTTTAAAATGATATACAATAGTAAATGATAATCAATTTTTTTAAACAATAAGCGCCAATCCTTTTTATAATGTGCATCAAATAATAATACAAATTTGTTTGTCGAATCTAAAATAATATTTTGTTATTTTTATGTTGTTATCACTGAGCTTCCGATGAAATAAAAATATTTTTCATCAAACACGTTTATATTTATTAAAAAACAAAAGCAACATTTGCAGCGATCTTCCTTTTTTCAATTATAGAACAGAACTCATAATATCTTAAAATTATTGTGTACACATCACCACATTTCTTTGCTTTTTAAGATAAAAACCCATTTTATTACAACAACATTACGAAAAATAATCTTCTTTTACTCTTATTAAAAATAAATAACAAAATATATTAAAAAAGAGTATAATAGTTATTTACACACAAATTTAAAAAGATGTTTACACGTTTTAATAAAAAAATGATAAATTCATAAAAATATGTTTAATTATATTTGAACACAAAATCATTATTATAATTACCATTTTATTACAAAAAAATAAATCACTCACAATTACAAGAAAAATAAAAATGTCATTATTTCTTTTCATAAAAAATATTTGTACATTTTTGAGAAAATAAAAATGTATTATTTAAAATAATCTTTTTAATTAATAACACAGTGTAATGAATTATAAAGAATTCATTGTTGAATTTAACGGAAAGAAATTGTGCAGCATTTGTCGTAAAGAAACTGATGATATTAAAAGCCACGCAAATAGAATTCACAAACAATTTATAAACATGTTTAAAGAAGATCATCAGACTTTTTTGTGTATTAAACAACGTATCTTTGAATCATCACGAAACGAAAACATGTTACCAATTTTAGAACTTCCCCATCAAAATACATTTTTTAATTATGAGTTTTGGCATCCAACTATACCATTAATAAGTAAAAAAGAATTGATTAATTTTGACACAAAATTTCATACAATAACTCCATTAAATGAATGGGTTTTAGCGAAAAAAGAATTTAAATATTCTGTAGCAAAAATCATTTCAAAGAAAATGTTGCCTGTTGGAATGGGAAGTGTAATTTCAGAGTCATTGAGTTGTTTGTTAAAAAAAATGAATTATAAAAACCCACAATTTGATGTTTTGTGCACATTTATTAGTGAGCTGAAATTAGGAGAAAAGGCGATGAGAAATTCCAAAATAGTTTTGAAAAACAAAACTATTTTGGAAATAAATAATTCAGAGTGTGTTGGTGTTCAATTTGATGAAACGACAGATTGTGCTTCAAAATCACAACTCATTGTTTTTGTTAGAATTGTAAATTCAGATTTGGTCGTACATGACACCTTTTTAACAATTATCCACAATAAAAACCATAATAATTCTGCAATTTCAACAAAAAGTGCAATTATTGATTATTTTGAACAAGAACATATAGATTTAACAAAAATAACAAATTTGACAACTGACTCGTGTATAACTATGGAAAAAACTAAAACGATTTTAGTTGATAATTTAATTGATTTGGGCGTGAAAGTAGTTTTTAGAATCAAATGTGCATTACATCAAGAAAATTTATGTGCAGCAGTATTAAAAAAATGTCATGTTATTGAAACCGACAATTTGTTTTTATGTTGGGTATTTGGAAGTCCAAAAATTAAAGATACCATGAACACATTTTTTAGAACTCAAAATGCACCTTGTCAATCAATTTTGGGTTATTCAATCACAAGGTGGATCACTCGCGCGACTTCATTAGAAATCATTTTTTTAAATTATTCATGTATAATATCTTACATTAATATATTCTACCCCAAAAACAAAAAATCAATAATAATTGTTGAAAAAATGAGTTCTGAACAATTTTATATTGATTTGGCTTTTTTGGTTGATATTTTAAAACAATTTTCATCAATTTGTAAACTTCTCCAAACAAACACTCTTGAAATTTTGGATTGTTTGGGAATATTAAGACAACTTAATTGTTTTGTAAACTTTGTAAACAATACCGAGATAAAAGTTATATAAATTCGATGTATTTTCCTTATTATATTC